GACAGTGCAGAAACTGCAGTCTTGCCGATTAGCTTTTCATTTTCCATGTTTTGTGGGCTTTAATTTATGACTGTCAACTAGACCACCAGAGCATTGGTCTTCAAACTATGGCATGTGTGTGCACGACTGCAAGGACATGCATCTGTATATAATAGTTTTTAACTGTTCAGCTGTTGTTTAAGACAAACTCATCTATTTTAACTTAAAATAAGGGGTGGGTGTTGCTGAAATTTGCTCTGAGTGCCTACACTGGGAAGTTAAGCCAACGAACAGCCATTGTAATGAATTGTACTGCAAAGAAAAAGTTAGGTACATTCAACTGCCTGCTATAGTTAGTTTAGATTTAGAGTTGGTTAATGAAGGGAGATGCTTCCAAAAACGGAGTGTGTGTCTTCTGGACACAATAGCTGAAAGTATAGGAATTTTTTTTTTTTTTTACACTGACGCTCTGCTTGCTCACCTGATAAATGGTTTGATTATTACGATCCAGCCTCTGGCTTCTGTAGCTAGCCCGTGCACTAAACTGGCAAATACCAGTGTTCACCAATTACCTAAATTAAGTCTGGGTCATGCATCTCATCTCCTGTTTCTTGTTTGCTTTGAATGAATCCAAAAGTAGTGCTAACAGCTGGAATCCCTGCTGAGGCCAGCTTGATCTGCTCTGGAGCTGCTCCAGCCAGTGCTCTGATAAAGCCTGATATCATTTCAACGGGGTCTAGGAGGACCAGAATGATTTCCCTTCATTGTTTAAGGTTTCATTCAAATATTTGCAATGCCAGGAAAAAGGATATTTCACTTCTGCTTTTCTCCCTTCACTGCTGCTAGAAATTTTTTTTTTTCCTCTTTTCTTAAAGTTAAGCTAGAGTGTGGCCAGTGCTTTTGGATTCTGTGGGTATTGTTCTACTTCTTCATCCCCAGGGACTCTCTGCATTGTGGTTCCAAAAGGTGCACACTGTAAATAAATAAATAATGCATCGATGTCTCAGAGTCAAAGCACATGTTCTGCTAAGAGAACATATTACATGGGGGAGACCAGGGAAAACTCTGGCCTTCTGCCCCGATTTTGGTAATAAGTAAAGCACCTAAATCCCTTTAAGGATCTGGTCTGCAGTTGATTATTTTTCAGGAGCTTTTTGATTGTGGCATTAAAAAACAGTAGTAATACTGGATGGATGTTTAGGCAGCTCAGTAAGCTTGGAGTAATGTCTGCTCTCCAAAGAGAGACTTCCTTAAGACCTCCATAATTTTGTGTTGTATATCAACTTAAAAACGAGGTATTATCAGTCAACAAAGTTTTATTCCCACCATGCATCATCCCTTTGGTGTGATCAGCAGAGCTGTGCTGAGCCAGGTGTTGTGCTAGCGGTGTAGGCACGCATCCTCTCGTTAGCGGCTGTGCTCGCTGGAGATGAGCACCCTGCTCCCCCGGCCCTCCCGGCACAGCCCTCCTCCCTGCCCATCTGCTGGAATCGCTGCCTGCTCTCCTCCGCACTCTCAGCTCCCAGGGGGTATTAGCCTTGTGTGACAAGGTTTTGGCAGTGGGGGGACTACAGGGGTGGCTTCTGTGAGAAGCTGCCAGAAGCTTCCCCCACGTCCAATGGAGCCAATGCCAGTCGGCTCTAAGACGGACCCACTGCTGGACAAGGCCCAGCCCCTCAGCAACAGTGG